ACCTTGTCTACGATGGAGGGGAGCGTCCACATCTCACCAGCGAGCACGGCCTGAGCACGCCTGCGGCAGACGACGAGCAGCAACCGCGCGTGTGACGGCCTAGACGGGAGCGCACCTGATGTGCCAGCTACGAGCTGTAGCCACCGGGAGGGCCACGCCTTTGTGCCGTGACGAGGGGGGAGGCGGATGGTGCAGGTCGGACCACCGTGGCGGTGAGGATGGAGGCGGAGCGCATCTGCGACGACGGGGATGACGGCACAATGGAAAAGAGACGATCGTTGCTGTTTATGGGCGCTGTGGGCTGGAATGGGCCACTCAAACTGGCCTGCTACGCGACTTTGGTGAGGATGTTGTTGGATCCGCAACTAGCGGTTGGGATCTGGTAACTGCATAGCGCCGTCGGTGGGATCGACTGCAGAGGATTTCGTTCGCAGAGGAGGGAGGGGGAGGGCCCGCGCCGAGCCGTGTCGGGCCAGGGGAGGAGGTGGGGTTTGTTGGGCTGGACTGGGAGCCTAGCTGGGACTGGCAAGACCGGAGCATGTCGCCGATACACTGAGTATCGAGTCACCATTTGGTGTTCATTGTTCTGACGCGTGGATCATTGTGTGAATGGCGGGTGGGGTTACAGATTGTTTGGGCTCTGTGACAGTGACTAATCAATTGTCAATTTGTCATTTGCAGCCGGGTGGGTTTGCGCCATTTTTCTAGTTGTTCTCATTCTAATGCCGGTCTATGTTAGCATCTTACACGTCCTAAGAATGCATCGAAAATTAGAGGTGTGGTTTAGAGAGATAACTAGAAAGACCGGCACGGCTTTGCCCGCCCTACGTGTAGCAGGCCATTTGCTCAGTCCATTGCATTTTTACATTGTGCGGGGTCTAACTTGTTCTAAGAAGTCTTCCATTTGTTTGGCTAACTTGGAGGCACCAATTTGTTGTGCGGGGTTATCCAATTGTGCTGGCAAACGTTAGCATATTTGCTATGTGCAATAACGTATAATACATAATTATTTGCTTAATACACTGCACAGTGTAAGAGTTGTGGGAAAGAATCATCAAGATTCAAGATTAGTTGTTACATGTAAACCATCACAAACATAAATCCTTGCAGACAAAGGCCCCGTTCGCTTGTCTGAAAAAAGAAGCCAAAACACTGTAGCGACTGGTTGTGTGAGAGAGAAATACTGTAGCGGCTGGTTGATGAATAGTGTCGCTACGAGGAAAAACCAGCCGGCTGGTCTGAAAACCAGCCAAATTTAACGGCACCAAACCATTTAGTATGTTACGTGCAACCTCCGGTGAGACAATGCATATGCCTAGGTGGACTAAGAGCCCGTTTGTTTAGGTTCGCAAAGCCTAGAGAGCTTTTGGATCTTTTGGTTTATGAGAGTTGTTTGTCTTTTGTTGGAAAGTCAAATGGCATTATCGAGAGACATCGGATTTTAGATTTTGAGGCATCAAACTATATGAGATACTATGGAGGAAGTGAGGGAGTGGATTCAAATTACATTATCTCTGCTTGTAACTAAACAATGTATGGATATTTGATATGTTAGTGGACTGATTGTACTCGTATGTTTTATCTAAAAAACTGTACCTCCTGGCCTGATTAATTTTGGTGTATGGGAAAAAAGGAACGAGAGCATCTTGGAATAATGATATAGTTTTGATACTATGTGCAACATAATAAAGAACAATAAGAGTAATATAGTTTTACAATTTTTTTAATCTTTTTTTGAGGGTCCAGTTTTTTTTTATCTTGTTATAGTTTCTTTTGGTCTTATCACCACAAGAGTACAGCTGAAGTTGTTCTTTTCTCCAGGCCTACATAAATCAATGCGAAGTTATCAGACTGGACTATACATTAGCAAAATCTATGCATGTGATTTAGAGAAAGGAAACCTAACTTTTCCAACTGACAAACAAAAATGTATCTTTAATCAGTGATGTTAGCTTGAATATGAAGCGTGCAATATGATGTAGCCCCGTTCGGCTTACCTTAAATCCGGCTCGTTCGGCTTCTTTTTTTCAGCCAGAACAGTATTTTTCTCTCACAATATTTCAGCCAGAAACAGTGTTTTTAGCCAATTTCAGCCAAGTTTCACCAAGCCGTACGAGAAACTGAAAAAAGGTACAAAGTTACTCCTACCTTGTAAATCTAGCAGCCTTTCCTGTAAGAGGGAGTGTTGCCCTGTTGCTTGAGGACGTGGACAGCCGCGACCAGCGCAGGCAGGCCAGGGCCCTCGCACGAGCGGGCGGACGCCTCGCGCGGCTGAGCGACCGGCCGGCGGCCTCGCGCGGCCGGGGGCGTCGCGCGGTCGGCGGACAAGGGCCTCGCGCGGCCGCGACAGGAACAGACTTCAGCAACGGATTTTACAGAAGAAGCAAACAAGTTGCAGAGAAAGTAGAGATGGGCAGGTAGCTTAAGGGAAATCCATTTGATGTCTTGTTTCATTTTTGCTAGAACGCAATAAACATATTTGCTTCTTTGATTCTCTCGTTTGAAGCTAGAAACAATTTAATTGAGGCCAATAATTATTTATAGCGAACGCCCCGATTTGATTCTCTTGTTTCAGATGCAAAAGGAATAACAATGTGCACAGTCGGCGACAGCAGCGAAGATAGAGCCGGGCCGTCCTAGCGCGAGAACTGTGGCCGGCGCGGCGCTTCCACTCCATCTCATCTTCCACCTCGCGCCGCGTTGCTGAATGCCGCAGTGCTAGTCGGCCATCGATTCCGCGAGACCATGGCCACCTGCTGCGCTGTTGGTCGAACTGCCAATGCTTTTTGCCGATGCCGGTGGCAAGAAACCGGCTGTTAGGTACCCGCCCGCGAACGGTCTTACCCTCGTGCCTCGTGCCTCCTGCTCTGCCGCTCACCATATTGAGCTCTCTGCGACTCCACCACCTTTGGCACCAGGCGCCAGGCGGCGTTATCGCGTCGCAGGTCACACCGTCGTTGTGCGGGGCGGTGGCCTCTGTCCTGTGCGGCAGGTGGACAGTGGGCGGGGCCGGGCTTCGAGAAGAAGGCTCTAGAAAAATACTATTCATTGCAGTTGAACGGCCCGATCATGATCCGACGACTGAGAAATGGAGGCGACGTGGCCCAATAATATTCCAGAGCTTAGCTCTGATTTAGAAGAATAGAGATAGTTTAATCTCCTCCCATTGTCTTAATTGGAGGCTAACCAAACAAGCCCTACCAAATCCCAAATAAGGTCCTAGGGCTGTGTTTGGCTGGCTGGCTGGTTGGTTGCCGGCTGGCCAGCCACCTCACAGAATCATTGTTCACGTCCTGCCAGAACAGTATTTTTCTCTCACAACAATCAACCGGAACAGTATTTTTCAGTCCTGCCGAACAGGCCCTAGATCTTTCACCTATGTTGGTCGACGTCCTCTTGATCGGGTGATCTTGAGGCAAGGTATGTCCATATTGAAAAGTTATGCTTATCGTTGTACCATGTAAGTTCTAAATAGAGACATTATTTGCTATAAGTACTGCATCGTTGCTTGCCAAGTTCATGTGATTAAGCACGTGTTACATCGGTCAATCCTTAGCGGAAGGATCGGTAAATGGGCATACACATTAAGCCTGTTCGCTTGTTGGTTTCAGCCAGGGCTTATCAGTCAGCAAACAGTGTTTTTCTCTCACAACAAACCAGCATCAGCCAGGCTTATCAGCTCAGAAAACAACCAGCGAACATGCTGATTAATTGAATATTATTTGAACTATTGAACCATTAAAGCGTGGTGAAGGAGGAAGAGCGAAGCTCTCTCAATTAGGTGTCCCCTGGGGGCACTATTTATAGGCATCGGTGGACATTACACGGACCAGACTGCTTTCGCGCCTACCCTAGATCTAACTCATATTTTTCAGGTGCGAGGGCAATTTGGTCAAACAGTTATACCGCCCCCAAAAGGCGCCCAACTACCCTGGCGCGCGGGTCCACTTGGCTCAGCTCTCTCTTTGGCGTCGTTGCTTTCTCTCCTTGCCCGAAGCTCGGCCTCTTCGCCCACTTCCCTTTCGCCATTGGCCGTTTTAGGTGGTGCCTTGACTTCACTGCCCTACATCTCGCCCCTTCCATTGGAGGACCATCCGACATTCGCCTCCCACCTACCGAATGGGATGAGCCCGTCGAACACCTAAAGTCAGCATAAGATGAACGCAAGGCACGGCGAAACAGCATGCGGTTACATGTCGTGGCTAAAACGTGTGCGCCCGCGGCGGTAATTGAACGCGAGGATGGGTTCTCTTGTCATCGTATCGCCACCCTTCCGACGTTCTTCATAGTTCTTACTATGTTCGCGGACCCTGAGACCCGCAAGTATGTTAGCGAAATCTTGCGAGCACCTGCGGCCGTCAGTTGGCGGAAGCGCGGTCACCGAGCGAAGGGTGGCACTTTTCGCCTACCGCAACTCTAGACGGTTTGGATCGAAGAGAGGGTCTGAGCGTTTGTATGTTTTACACCAAGTTGTGGAGGCTGTTGATTAAAGAACAGAGAGCTACCACTAAAACTTAGAACTTCATCTATAAATAACTCGGTTGAATCTTTTGACCAGAGGCTAATTTTACTTCTCTAGGCATGTGTTTGAGTACCTGATGTAAGCAAATAGGACGGCGGTTGCACATGGCAAGAGCTTGGCTCGACCTGAACTACATGTGAACTGAACCTCACAACCTGCATAGCATATGACAGACGCTCCACTGTGCTAATAGTGTGTTGCATCCAGTAAATAAATTATGCCACACTTAACCACCTATATCTAACTGCCACCAGCAATTATGCTCCTCCCGTTCCGTTCCAGATCAGATCCCAAATCTCATCGACTCAGCTCAATTCCTCCCAGTCCGAGTGAAGGAAAACACGCCTTCCTCTTCCTCCCCTTCAAGACTTACCACTTCCAGGTCGAGCTCCCGGCCAGCTGCTCACTCACGCTGCACGCACCTCACCAGCTCAGTGAATTGATCGACTGCGCGATTACAGCACGAGAGCCAACAGCAATGGAGAGAATACCCAACTTGTTACACCGTCCTACTCTCGTACTGCTCCTGCTGGCGCTCCTCCTGAGTTCCTTGCCAACAGTAGTGGCGCGTGCCACTGTGAAGACGACGACGTCGGCACGGAGGACGACGACAGAGAGCTCAGGAAGTGGCTCCGGCGGCTACTTCCGGAACCGGAAGCTGCTGGTAACCGCACCGCGGGTGTCCTCGGGATCGCAGCAGCAGATGGACGCCAGCCGCTGGCGGTGGACGACGCCGTTCAGGGGAGCGAGGGCCAGCCTCGGCCGCCCTGTGCCGGGGTCCCACGGAAACCCGTCTCATAACTAGCAGGTACTACGTGCGAACATAAATCATCACGAGTTCATCCCGGTGCGCACTGTCTCGTTTGGCGGGGGTCATGGGATCCATGGTCATCGCCATGTGGATCCCCGTGTTCGGCCAGCTTGCCTTCGTCTTCTTCGGTGGCTGCCCTCACACGTGGACCGGGTTCTCCTCGGCCGCGTTTGCTGACCTCGGTGCCATCGTCAAGCTCTCGCTATCTTCTGGTGTCATGCTCTGGTAAGCAGCATGTACATTTTTCAGGGATACTAACAGTATCATATATAGCTTTTTTATCGATCTTATCAAGGTTTTGATACACCTGTAACACATATTCGTTGCTCTACTTTTGCCTTTACAGTTTGGAATTGTGGTACAACACCATATTGGTGCTGCTCACAGGGTACATGAAGGATGCAGAGGTTGTTCTATTAGTTCATCTGACACAATTTTGTCTTGAATAGATTACCAAATGACACAATTTGGAATGGAGTGAGTAATAATTAACCAATATACAGTACAGATCAGGAAACCAATAGACGGAATGAAGGTCACGGGATCAGACGAAGCGGCCGAAGGTGGTGTTGATGAGATGGTCGGCGACGAGGCGGCTGGCGCGCTCCGTGGGGTGCACGGCGTCCCAGAACACGTAGCGGTCGGCGTCCGGGCACGTCCCTGTCCCCGCCGGCGCCGCTGCCCACGCGCCGCACGCGTACCCCATCTCGTAGGTGCCCGTCCCACAGCACCCGACGTCGGCGCGCGCGAAGCCGTGCCTCCCCGGGTCGCGCACCATGTCCTCGAAGAAGTCGTAGACCTCCGCCACCCGGATCTCGGCGCCCGGCAGCTCGCCGCCCAGCTCGCTCACCATGTCCACGAGCGCCGCGTTGAAGGCGCGCGCCGCGGCGTTGTACTCCTCGGCGCAGCGGTGGCCGAGGGCGCGGGCGCGCTCCAGTGGCACGCAGCCCATGGGGCGAGCCCGTGAAGCCCACCTTGCGGGCGCCCAGGCCGTAGAGCTCCGCCAGGAAGCCCCGGGCCAGGCCCACGAGGTAGTCCGTGTACTCGGCCAGCGTGAACTCGAGGGACCGCGTCGTCGTCAGCGCGAAGTAGTTCTCGATGAAGTCGTTGGTGCCGATGCTGACGGCGTACACGGCGCCGGCCACCACGGCGTGTGCCTCGGCGTCGCCCAAGTGATCAGCCAGCCGGGACTTGTACTCCCGGAACATGTCCAGTTGCTTCCACAGGGGGATCACTCTCTGGATCACCAACCATCACAGTGATATTATTAGTATCACTTACGGATCCTAGTATTCAATAGCTAGCGGGGAAATCATTATATCTTATATTATTTGATCAATAAAAAAGCGTTTTTGTATGTTAATTTCCAAAGACTAGAAACTACTAGGAGAATTAAATAATTTATTAAAGTACTCTAACACCCATCACTCATTATGCAAAAATTATCCTAGAAGTACCCTTATACTATTCTTTTATCACCAACACATGTTATTATTGGGAAATAGGTTCTTTATATTTGGGTAAGTCATTCCATCTTTGTCATGGAAATAAAAGAGACTTAAAGTTACAATTCCCTTTATCTTTGGATATCAAATATATTAGAAATATAAATGCGTTCCAATATGAAAATTATGAAAAGTAATAACCATAGAAAAAGTTCACAAGCTAAGACCCAATAATATGGCAACTAAGGATTGCGTAATCTGTAAAGATCATGGTAAAATGTTTATACCCAGCTACAAAAAAGGTATCAACAATGTTAGAGTGATACTTCATCCGTTCTAAATCATAAGCGTTTTGACTTTTCTATATACGTATTTAATTTTTATATAATTACTATTTAAATATTTGTTAATAAATGTGTTGTTTTTTATGAGTTGTATTTATCCACCTTATATATTCATATTTTAAATCTCTGTATGAATAATTATTTGTTCTACTAAAACTATTGATGTAGCAAATATATACTTGTTATTTAAAAAACAAGTAGGTATCCGAATTCAAATTCAAAATATCTATCTTGTATGTGCATCAGATAATATTTTTTTTATATATTTCAATTTAACTTAAAATATGATAAATAATGCTATCAAGTTCGATTTCATCCACGTTGGATACGAATGCGTCCCTACTTGGGACGGACTCAAAAGTAGCTGGTCTTTAGTCGAGTAAAGAGAGTGGGCATCGACAATGTGTGTGCGAGTGTTGCCGTACTTGTGTTGCGTTAACGCCGCTCACTGGTACTGGATCGACGAAGGGTTTCCGAGTAGGACACGAGGATTCGCTTGCATGCCGGCGAATGTGCAGCCGGAATCTTGCAGAAAAGTGCTGCCGGCTTTATTTTGGTTGAGCATCATCTGTATCGCAGTAAATTCAAATTCGGTGGGCCAATGGTAGTTGAAAAGTACTCCATTTATATATAGGCCATGTTCGCGTGCTCTTAAGCCTAGCTTGATCCGCTTCTTTTTTTATCCGAAACCGTATTTTTCTCTCATAAATTCCTTCAGCATTCCTTCAAATCATTCAAATTCCTCCAAGCGAACAGGCCCATGCTATGCAGAAAAGAATACTATTACCTCTATCTAAAAAAAATACAATTATGGGCCCAATTTTTTACAATTTGACTATTTTTTAAGAAAATTTGTGTTTAGCTCCCTGAAAGACTTAAACTTATCTTTAGACCTGAGAGTCTATGCCATAAATTTTAGCTCCGAGATGTCTGGCTGTACACAGCAGGACATCTAGATGATGTTTACATGGCTGGTACCTCGGTGTTAGGATACATGGCCGTTGACGCCGACCTCGGAGTACTAGATTTGTTTTCATGTTTCCTCTGTTGCCCCGTGATCTACCGATCTACATTTATAAAACATTCATTGTGCCTTAAATACCATGACCAAATCCACCAAACCAAATAGTTCCTGCAAATATCAGCAAGGCACTGGCATTCTGGCCTGTTTCTGCTTTGCATATGCTATGTTGTCAGAACATAGCAGATTTGGAATTGAGCAGCTGTAGTTCACCCACCGGTGGGCCTGGTCGGGTGAGCGGTGGGCCATCTTTTACCGTTTGAATCTCTTTAGCCTGTTACATTAGATTAGTATAGCCTACTTTTTACAAGTGCACATCTTTGGGAAAGATAAGGGAACAGTTCCTTATGCATTGGCTGATTATATGTTGTAAATGTTTTTTATTATGTTTTATAAAGGTTTTCAGAGAAATAAATGTGTTGTATTTAGCTGAGTGATCAGTCTTGAGAAATAAAATGGTGTCGTAACTGAGAGAACCACATGCAAAGCACAACCTTTTGAACCCTGAGCTTAACGTTGTATTCAAGTAAACTGCTGCTTTGAGAAATCAATTTCATTTTGAAGGAATACCAGTTTCAAGTTTCAACAACGAAAATATAACCCTTTCAAATCAAAATTGGGAACTAATATTTATACCCTCTCTTAAACAGCCGCTTGGTGACCTGGGAACACTAGAAGCTGGAGAGAACGGGGAAGCCCATTTCTCAGGACCGAAGGAGAAACTGAGAGTCGTTGACTTGATCGGCAGCTCTATTGCTGTGTATGCAACCGAGGACAGATCAGACCCTGGCATTGCTGCAGCCGTGATTGCAAGAAGTGCCGGTGTAGGAGAGAACTACAAGAAGCTCTGCACTTGTGATGGTGTCACCATTTGGGAATCAAGCTAAACCTGATACCAGCGAATTTTCCATACTATTTGCTTCAGTATGTTGTACACACATTAATGTAGAAACAATCAAACTGGCAACTGAACATTTGGAATAATAAGCATGAATACATTGAGGAATAAAGGCTGCTCTCGTGTGGAGCTTTGAGGAATAAACGGTAAAAGATGGCCCACCGCCCACCCGACCAGGCCCACCGGTGGGTGAACTACAGCTGCTCAATTCCAAATCTGCTATGTTCTGACAACACATGTGACGCAGCATATGCAAAGCAGAAACAGGCCAGTATACCACCAGTGCCTTGCTCTTGCTGCTTTGGTATTAAAAAAGTTTCTACCGATAAATCGAAATGTTTATTTTATTATTATAAGAAAAAAATATCGTAGATTCTAAGCTCGATAAAGTTCTAGGGTGATAAGTTTACATGAACAGGTCTGCAGGAACTATTTGGTTCGGTGGATATTGTCATGGTATTTAAGGCACAATGAATGCTTTATAAATGTAGATCGGTAGATCACGGGGCAACTGCAGAGGCAACATGAAAACAAATCTAGTAGTCCGAGGTCGGCGCAAAGATCTGTGACATCGAGCTCGGCACCATGTATTCTGGCGTCGAGGTACTGGCCACGTGAACACCACTTAGGATGCCCTGCTGTGCACGGCCAAACACCTCGGAGTCCAGATCTGTGGCGCCGAGACGTTTTACCTCGGTGCCATGAGTCCTGGCGCCGACCCCAGGTTCAAAGATAAGTTTAAGTCTCTCAGATGGCCAAACGTAAATATTCTTCAAAAATAGGCCAAATTGTAAAAAATTGGGAATTATGGGTTGCGTGACAGTTAAAGTACTTCACGTTTGACCAAATTTTTAGTAAATAGTATTCACATTTATGGTTTCAAATCAATTAATTATGAAAATATATTTCGTAATTAATCTAATAATATTTATTTTATATTATAAATATTTATACTTTTTATCTATAATTGGTCAAACTTGATGTACTAAAACACGATACCGTTTTATAATTGTATTTTTTTGAGGACGGAGGGAGTACTAGTACAATTCTACCACAGTAGCAAGTTAAAGTATCTTTAAATTTAATTAACCATATATATAAAATTATAAATAATTATGATATCAAATAAGTATTATTAAACTTTTCATGAGATATATTTTTATAATAATATGTTTATCTAGCACCAAAAACATTAATACTTTTAACTATATAGTTGGTCAGACTTTGAACACTTGAACTAATAGAGTAACTAAAATTGTATTCTTTTGGAACTGAGGTAGTAGCACGTAGGAAAGTGATATTGTGTGGAAAATTTTCTTATGTGCTATGTACTCTCTTTAACTTTATTATGGACCCATCCTATAGTCAGTGCAAGCGTATAAACTTCACGTCCTCTTGGTTTTGGAGAGAAGAGCAGCAAAAAAGTACCATGCGTGGATTAATTTTATCACGCGCCAAACATTCTTAACACTTTATGTGCCGGATTTAATATTGCATAATAGACGTGTCCTGTGGGGAATACTGTGTGCCCGGTACTGTTCTCATGTACATTACTTTTTCTTACCTGTCAGATAAGAGCAATTCCAAGAGACTCTAATAAAGATTTTGATAAAAAAAGAACACTTCAATGGCTTCTTTATTTGGTTATTATCCAAATATAACCGTATTCCAGATTTCTCGCTAGCCAAAGATAGAAAACGAGAATGACTTTCTAGAGTGCACACATGATATAGAAAAATTATTGGAGAGTGAAAATATAGATAGAGATTTTTACACAAATAGCTCTCTAATGACGATTTAGAGAGTGGAATTTAGAAAAGCTCTCGTAGATACTCTAAAAGGCCCTTTTTTTTGCGCAAAGCGCAGGTTACGTGCTAGTTTCTAATATTATTGTTCATTCATGAGAAATAACTTGTATTAGAACCCACGAGATGTAACTTCCTAGTTTCCTGAACCCACAATCTACTATTATATCCTTTATAAGAATCTATAGCTAAACCTACGATGAGACGAAGGAAAACTAAAGATTGGCAATTGCATACAAGGCATTTACCTCTGTTAGTTGTTAATACAACGAGTCAACGAACATCTTCGCTACTATTTTCACCATTCCAAATATAGTTATGCTATAGCCAAACTTCTTCTATATTTGATTAAGGTTGTAGAAACATACATTAATATTTATAAATTTAAATAGAAATGGGAAGCAAACGAACAAAAATGAATGATATTGTAGAAGATCTTGAGATGCACTTACAAAGACACGTGAGGTGGCAACATCAAGCCCGGAGCCGGCGGAGGCGAAGCAAACACCGATCGCCATGTCCCGGATGCCGTAGGCCGGATCAAGGTAGGCCGGCACGAAGGCGCGCCCGAGCCCGAGGGCCTCCGAGTAGAAGTCGGTGGCCACGCGGCCGTTGCTGAACCGCCCCGTGGCGCGCCCCTCGGGGAACGGGAAGTCCCGCCCATACGGCGGGAAGTTGCTCCGCACCGCCGTCGGGATGGCGTTGTTGTTGCCGGCGTCGACCGTGGAGTCGCCGAACACGATCAGGGCCGTCACACGCGCCTGCACTGCTGGTGGCAGTGGCACCAGCAGCAGGTGCAGGTGCAGGTGCAGGAGCGCAGCGGGGAGGAGGAGGAGACGACGGCCATGCATGGCTGCCGCAACCGCAACCATGCTGGTTGCTGGCCCGATCCGGTTCTTCTTGTCGTAGGCAGGGGCAGGCCAGAACCTGAAGGAGGATGCCTTTTTGAACAGGAGGACGTGAAAAGCGTCTGCATGTTGAATGGGGCCACGCAGTAAAGCCAGAGGCGTGATTGCATGGGGTTCTGTGCGGCGGGTAGGTGTGGCGCTGCACTTCCAGGCTTCGAGTACGGACGCAGATTCCGTAGCTTCTTCAATTCAAGTCAAGACGTAGGTTAGGGCATGTATGGTTAGGTAGGCCATCCTAGTCTAAACCAGCCCAGCTGGAGCCTCTCGCTTGAGCAATGTAACCTAACTGTATGTACTGCTTTAGTCCATAAAAGAATATAATTATATGAAATGTGTCCGTCAAACTAGTACAATCAAATTTATAGTAAATAGTATTAATATTTATGTTCCTAAATAAATTTATTATAAAAATATATTCTTTAACTAATCTAATGATATAAGTTCAGACAAAGTTCAAATGGCTTGACTTCTCGAAAAACGTGAATTACATTCTTTTGTGTACGAAAGGAGTATTATAATTGCTTTTGTTTAGTTGCCTGGTTTAGCCGGCGTGTGGCGGAGGAGCCGGATCTTAGCGATGGGGGAGCCAGATCTCCGTGCGGAGTGTGGTGGCCGGAGCTGAGGGAGATGGATTACAAGCACCTGCGCCGGGGCGAGGAGGTAAGCTCCATCGCCCGCCGCCTTCTCTCCCCTTCCAGTTTCTTGTGGCGGCGATGAAGACACAGTGGCATGTGTGAGGAGCACCGACAGGTGAGCCACATGCTTGTACAAGCCTAGCTCCACAAAAACGCAGGGTCCGAGTGTTTACAACAATGCAGCCTCCACCCCCTTTTTTGGCTTTCCACGAGCCTGACTTAGGGCTACCCAGGCATCCAAACACACTGAACTGCGTTATGGTTATGGAAGCCTGGACAAGAGGTAAGCCAGACAACCTGATTAATATCGGAGTACCATCCAACGTGGATCCAAGGTTGACAAAAGTTATAAATAATCCTTGCCTATGCCTAGGGCTCTATTTTTTCTCAACGCGGGAGCGTTCCAGGGAAGCGAAGATAGCATGGACGCGTTTTCCCATGGCACGGCATGCCGCCATAGCCCTTTCGCGTCGCGCCTTAAGTTTTTATTTTTATTTTTATTAATATTTTTTACATCTTATTTTCAAATAACCTCATCTAATTTTATTTTATTTTTAACCCTTTTAGCCATGTCAACATGCTTGGCGCGACAAAATTATGCTACCACGCCATATGCGTTTGTACCGTAAGATGTGCCGCGCCAGGGTGGTTGTGCAGGACAAGGGCGGAGGAGTCATGGTGATGCCCCGGCGAAGCGGGATTAGCATGGCGGTGGGAGGTGGAGGCGGATCCGGCGGCGAGGAGCAGCCAGAGGTAGGCGGGCGGGGTGGAGGCTTCATGGGAGACGCCATGGATGGCTGCAGTGGCAGAGGGAGGGAGGAGCTGAGGAGGGCCTGGCACCTCCAACATCTGGTGCCCCCACAGTACCCCTTCCATTAGATAGAAAATATCTAATAATTTACTAGTTAATTATGCTAATTTGTGTCTAATTTGTTTATTATTTCTTCGTATTAATCTATAGTAGTATCTATATGATCTAGAATTTGTCTTTTTATTATCCACAAATGAGAGAACCCCTGGCTTCAACAGAGACCAGAGAGCAGAGCATGAAAAGAACAATAAATGTTGTAAGTATGCAATAACACACAAATTAGTCTGGTTTCTTTGGACATCCCTTCTACCTTGTTTCTATTAGGCACAGCATTTACACAAGGACACGCTACCCTTTCTAGGGAAAGCAAATCTCAGGAAGAAGACGAGCCTTGCCCCGGGGCTTGTCCTGGAGGTGCTGGGACCAGTAGGCCTGCGCTGCGAGGACACGGTCCAGAAGTTCTTGTGGAACTGGCTGACCTCTTCGCTGTTGCGGGGATATACTTGCAGTGTGAACCAGGGTCTTCCACTTGTCCTGGTTCATCAATCAAGTATTTCAAAGTATGTTCGAACACCGCAGATACCAACACAGCATTGAAAATCAAACAGAATCACACTACTGACGACTGCTTTTGTAGGTCTTTTAATTGCAACTCAAAATTAATAATGCAAAAATGCGAGCTTATGTTTAAGAAAAAGTCACCTTAAGGTCGACATAGGTCCTGTGCTCTATATTGTCAAAGGCAAGCGTTTTAACAGCTCTCCACCTGAACAAAACATCAGGAGGAACACGTGAGCCAACATGTGATCTGAAATAAACACAATTGAAACAAATTCATTGGACACAGACCTTCCAGTCCCAAGCTGTTCAACCGCTCCCACCAGCGCCTCAACCTCACCAACAGTGAAGGGCCTCCTTATGCGCCTTTGCCCAATTTCGGATTGCTTGGACTTACAAAGGGGCACAATGGCTAGAGCACCTATGTCTGAAGGTGCGGGTGAAACAGGGATGATGGCTTGGGAGCTTGCTGATGTGTCTTGTGAAGCCATCTCAACAGGACCATGAACAGAGTACAGATCAGAGAGAGAGCGGCTTCGATAAGGGGCTTTAGACTGTTGGTTGTCATCTCCGACATCAGCTTCAGGAAAAGGTTCTTCACACTTCATCCTGGAAATCATGGAACATTCAAGTTGCATCCTGTCAACATCTTCCAATCATTATACCTAAGAGAACTGTACTGCAAGTCACCTACCTAGCTAATGGCTCCACCATATCTGCAGTGAGGAAATCCATCTGTTCTGGTATAATGACTCCAGAGGGAGACTCTTGCTCACGTTCGCATTGCAACGTGAAGTCTATGTTATTTAGTTTTTTATCATGGCATATCCCAGCTTGACGAAGTGTCTTCTTGTCGTCTTGGATATCCTTTCCTTGAAGAAGAACACCAACGCGTAGACCACCTTCCATTATACTATTGACAACATCCATGACAGTTCTCTATAGACATAGACGGACTACAAACTGTTACTGGGAAACACTCACAAGAAGAAAATATTTATATGCTCTGTATAGGGTACCAGTAAAACTATTGTGAAGACTCATTATTCCACATTACAATAAACTGTTTGCTAATTCAAATGCAGAAATCTAACATGTGTTTTCAAGTCGTCCGATTAATCGCGATTACTCGTCCTAATCGGTCCCTGGTGTTCGATTAGGAGGTCCGACTCGATTAGCTCGACCAGAAAGCTGGTCGTCCGATTAGTCGACGACTAATCAGACTAGGCCATGGACGACCAGTGTGGTTGCTCAGTTTTTTTGGGCCTGTTCAACCGGGCCTATATGTGGCCTATTGGGCTTCCAATTTGGCCTATTAGGGTTAGAATAGGCACCCCAAAACACCGGAGGTACGCAGGCACGGTGGCAAACGCAGGGCGGCCGCAATTTTTCCCCGCGCGCCTCCACGCACGCGTTTCCTGCCTCCCGCGCGCGATTCCTCCCCTTCCCACGCGCGATTCCCTCTCTCGTGAGTTATTCCCCTCCCTCGTGTGCTATTCCCTCCCCGCACGCGCTATTCTCTCTCTCGGTGAGTGTGAAGCCAACGGCGCCCTCTGCCAGTCAAGTGGCCATGGTCTTCGTGATGAGCTGCTCCACGACGGTATGTGCCTTTCCCTCTCCATCTTCTTCCCTCCTCCCCATCCCTCACTCGCAACCTCTCGGCTCTCTCGCTAGACTGCTAGGTTGCTTGCTGTGCTGTAATGTTGTCCCTCTGCTATTCTCTAGTTCCAAAGGAAAGAGAAGCAATCCACTTTGCTAGACTAATCGGCCTAGTTGACGAGTAATCGCGATTAGTCGTCTGGTCGATCCCATGGCGACTAGGTTCGACTAGAGGAATTGAAAACATTGAACATGACAGTCAACTCAATCCAGCAATTGGAGCAAGTTCTGTATTACTAAATTTTGTACCCACTGCAGAACTGTTAGACAGCCGTATATGGCTGGTCTGGGCCTGGGCCTTGAGGCCAGCCCTTGTAGCTGCCCTGCGTTGGATTTCTTGTCCAACAAGGGTGTAGATTGAGTTGTATATGGTAGAGATACCGAGGTCAGTTCTGTTTCCATAAGCCGCCCCTATCGCTACCTGTATATGTACATGTATCATGTAACCCCAAATCAATCTATAATCTTACGCTGCATACCTTCTCTCATGGTATCAGATTAGTTTCGATCCACACTTCCGCTGCATCAGCCACGTCGATCCCGGCGTTGCCTTTCTCGCGTGCTCTCTCGCACTGCGCCCGCACCGCCCATCCCGCGGCCCTCGCCTCCCTGCCGCTTTGCTCAGATGTACAGTTGCCGACCCCAGCCACCTCCAGCTGTCTCCTGGACCTCTGGGATCACCTTTTCAGCCACCTGGACAGATTCCTGCAGCATCACCTCCTATGCCTGCAGCACGCCTTCCTGCTGGTGCCATTCCTATTTTGCCAGTTCAGAATGAGCACTCTATGACTACAGGTGCCAAGCACGGTTTCCGGGTCCCGGCTCTATACCATGCAGCACCATTATCTCCAGTACCCAGGACGCACCGCGCTGCCCTTTCTGATCCTAATTGGAGAGCTGCCATGGAAGAGGAATTTTCTGCGTTAGTGCATAACAACATTTGGGATCTTATTCCTCGACCATCCCAAGCCAATGTCGTCTCAGGCAAGTGGATATTCAAACATAAATTCAAGGCAGATGGCTCCCTTGAACGGTACAAGGCACGCTGGGTGCTTCGAGGCTTCACACAACGGCCCGGTGTTGATTTATAACTTTCAGTCCTGTAGTGAAGCCAGTCACAGTTCGCACTGTCCTCTCCCTAGCTCTGTCTCGGAACTGGCCTATACTCCAACTGGGTGTCAAGAACACTTTCCTCCATGGCAACCTGTCTGAGACTGTTTATTCAGTGAAGCCTACTGGGTTTGAAGATTCAGTGCATCCCAGTTTTGTTTGTCACCTGAACAGATCATTATACGGCGACG